TTTCCATACAAATTATAGAAATGTTAACAAAGGGAATGAATAAAACTAAAAACTTCTATAAAATATTTCCACTTTAACTTGTCGATGTTTTCATTCACCAGGCAGCAAGTTTAAAGCTCTTAAAATAAAATGTATTCATAAGTAAACACCAAGTTTATCTGCCATTGTTAGGGTCTAAAATGTGGATTATTAATTTGTTTTATGCATAAAATGTGATTTTGGGAGTGTAAAGGCATAACTTAGATTTAACCGTTCAAGGACAGCACTTATTCTTAACAGTATCAATAACAGAAAACACACTTCTTCAACAGTGTAATATAATAACACAGATATACCAGTGTATAGCCTACATCAATATTATTACTGCTAAATACTGCAAAGACAAAACTTTACTTTGACAGTGTATATATAGCAGATTTTGTCCTTTTACGGTAACAAGTCATATACTGTAGGCCATTCTTTATGGTAATCTCACCAGGTGCTTTCACAGAACTGTTCCATCTCTGGGCCTGTCCTGGATCTTTTTCAGGAACGTGTGTACATCCGTAGGAGAAGTGAAGAGGTGAGAGTTGCCGTCATGTGTCACTCGGAAAGAGCATGGATATTGTATTCCATACCGCAGACCCATGTCTCTGCATCTCGTTTTAACTCCATCGTAGGCTCTGCGCTTTTTATCCGTCTCCTTGGCGACGTCATGGAAAAACATTATATGATGTTTGTCAAAGTGGATTTTACCCTTTTCATATGCAGCCAAGGACAAAATCACTTTGGTTTTGTCCTTGTAGTTTAAGAACTTAATCAGAAGTGCTCGAGGCGGTGCGTTTGGCTTCGGTCTGCCAGATGGAACTCTGTGCGCCCTTTCAATAGCGAGCGGTGCTGAAAACGATCCGGCACCCAACATTTCAGGGATCCATTTTTCCAGAAAGATGCATGCATCCTTCCCTTCAGCGTTTTCGGGCAAGCCTATCAGTCGCACATTAGATCTGCGGCTACGATTTTCCAGATCTTCCATTTTCGCCTCCAAACTTTCCACCTGTTGTCTCAGCTGTTTCGTTGTTTTATTCAGCGCTGAGGCATCGTCTTCCACCGCTCCAAGCCGCTCCTCAGCCTCCGTTAATCGGCCAGAGTATTGTTTTAGTTTGCCTTCGATTGATTGTATTGAGTGTATCACCGTATTACATTTTGATGCAAAGTCTTCCTTCAGGTCTTTCTTTAAATTGTTGATTGCACTCAGAATTTCACCTGAGGATTTATCCTGCGACAGGTCTTCTCCCTCCTCGTGTTCCATGTCGGGAGTAAGGCCAGTTTGAGACAGCGGTGATTGATTGATTGATTGAAAAGTTTATTAACAGCTTGTATATTGGGTACAGTACAGTACAGCTCAAAACATACAATTGTTAAGGGGATGCAGACCAGAGAAAGACTTTCGTCTTGTTTACATCAGGGTCCCCCATTTCCAATTCATCATATCATTTAAGACATATAAGACATATTTGACATACAGATGGCTTATTTACAATTTACATACAGGTGGTTTTTTACATACAGATGGCTTATTTACAATTTTCATTTTAGATTTCGTTCTAATACATCCTAACCGGACATTTAAGACATACCAAGTCTACAGATATACAGTTAGTAACAGAGTCTAAAATGCGAGTATATACATAGATGGGGGGGGGAAGCTGTCCATTGTACGACAGGTTGAGATTTGTACCATTACCGGGGCCAGTTTTGCAATGCTTTCCCCCGAAGGTGCTCTTTAAGAGAGGTTTTGAAGGTAAGTATAGTTTTACTTTCCTTTACAGTTGTGGGAAGAGCGTTCCACCTTGATGTGGCATAATTGCGAAACGTGTATTCCCCTTTTTTTGTGCCAAATCTGGGTTTTACATGATTTGTGGAGCTCCCTCTGGTGTTATGATCATGGTATTCCTTGACCTTTGGGAAGAATTGTGACATGTACATGGGTACCATAGAGGTGTAGTGGATCTTGTAGACCAGGCCCATTGCAAGTAGCTGTACTCTGTCGTCTACTCTAAGCCATCCTAGGTTGTCAAAGTGGGCAGAGGTGAGGTGGGTTCTAGATGAAAGGTCAAGCAGTAGTCTGACCAGTTTATTTTGCGATGTTTGAAGTTTTATTTTTAGCGCCTTGGAGGTGCTATGGTACCATGACGTGCAAGCATAGTCATAGTACCCTTGAATGAGTGCTCCTGCCAGAGTTTTCAGGGTGCTTTTGTTTACCAGAGAGGAGATCCGGTATAGGAATCTAGTTCTTTGATTGACTTTTTTTATTACCTTGGATGCCATTTTGTCACAGGAGAGGTTTGCCTCAAGAATAGATCCTAGGTATGTAATTTCCTTCTTACTTGTGACAATAATGTCACCCACTGCAACTGAGAAGTCGTCGGATTTGCTGAGATTATGTTTCGAACCGAAGAGAATGGACTCTGTTTTACCCAGGTGTAATGATAATTTATTATCGGCGAGCCAGGTGCAGATTCTGCCGAGCTCGGAGCTGAGGGTTTTTTTCAACCTGCAATCTGCTCCTGTCAGAGACCAGCAGGGCTGAGTCGTCCGCGAACAGGAACAAGTTGCAGTCACATGCTGATGACATGTCATTTGCATAAATTAGGAACAGTAACGGACCTAATATGCTTCCTTGTGGAACACCACAGCTCACTGGGAGGGGGGGGGACAGAGTACCGTTTACCTCCACCATCTGTTCTCTCCCCTCCAGGTAGGATTGCATCCAGCTCACCGATAGTTTATCAAAACCAATTGCTTTTAGCTTGTCAATCAGAATGGGGTGATTGACAGTGTCGAAAGCCTTTTGTAGGTCCAGCATCACCATGCCGCAGTATTTACCCTCGTCCACCTCTTGTTTGATGTGGTCGTTCAAATAAAGAAGGCATGTGTCAGTGGAGTGGGATGTTCTAAAGCCAGATTGAAATTCATAGATTAGTTTCTTTTCCGCGAGGTACTTTTCGACCTGTTCATATACTATTTTTTCCATGACTTTCGAGATGGAGGTAAGTATAGAAACAGGGCGGTAGTTGCCTGGGTCCAATTTGCTGCCCTTTTTGTGCAGGGGGGTTACTCTTGCAATTTTGAAGTCTTTGGGTACTTTTCCCTGTTTTATGGAGAGGTTAATTATGTGAGCTATGACTGGTGAGATGGCGGTTGCTGTGTCTCTGAGGAATTTGGAGGGGATATTGTCGTGGCCAGTGGCCTTGTTAGGTTTGAGGGCGCTCAGTTTAATGAGTACCTCTGCTGTTGTTACCCTTGCTAGACTGAAATCATCTTTGCGTACCCCTAGGTTTTTGTAGTAGGTCATGATGTGATCTACTCCAAAAAGCCCTGAGTGGGAGGGTAATTTATTTACAAGAGTTGTGGCTATGTTTGTGAAAAAAATGTTCAAGTACTTGGCCACATCCAGTTTGTCTGTGATGAGCCTGTTATCTGTCTTTATGTTTACGTTTGAAAATCTCGTTTTGAGTTTTTTACTGCAGCCAAGCTGGTTATTGAGTAATTTCCAAAGTTCACGGGGTTTATTTTTGTTTTCCTCAGTTTTGACATTGATGAAATTCTTTTTGGCAGTTTTGATCATGGAGCTTACGTCATTTCTTAGTCTGTTTCTTTCAATTTTTAGTTCAGTCACGTGGGCCTGGAGTTCACTGCTCGTGCTTTTGGAAAGCATTGACTGACTTTTATGAAACTCAGAGCATTTTTTGTCTCTGGTTTTCATGGCGGTCAGTATGCCGGAGTGCATCCACGGCTCAGCGCGATTTTTTACCCTGGTTGTTCTTAGGGGGGCCAAATCATTGAGTATTGCAGAGAATTTGTTTTTGAAACCAAGCCATGTTTCTTCAACTTGTGTACCACTGAGCTCATCTGACCAGTCCAGGCTCTCCAGTTCTAGGTTAAAGGCCTCGCTAGAGTAGTTTTTGAGGTCTCTAGATATGACTGTTTTGTGACAGCCGGCCTTTTGTTTTAGCTTTTTGCGGGTACAGAATATCATATAATGATCACTTAAACCGCATGCTATAACCCCTTTACTGGAGATCCTGGACCTGTCAGAGGTCAGAATGAGATCAATGGTAGTTTGTGTTGTTTCACATACCCGGGTGGGTTGGGTGATTAGCTGGCTGACCAATCTTCTTCGGATAAAGTTTCCAAAACGTTGTCCTTTCTAGTTGTTTTCTTGCGTGGAGGCATTAGTAACACCGTTATGACTGTGTAAATTGCGTTTTCCTTTTACCTCCCGCGTTCCAAATAGTTCATTTACAATATTAGGGCAGAGCGACGACTGAACTACGTCTGATCAACACCGCGCCATAACCGGAAGTCACTAATGTACAATTTACCCTCATTTAAAATCACAATGTCTTGTATTATTGTATTCATTTAAATTTGTACATATATTTTATATCACTGATTGCGGCTAAGAAAAACAAAACAATGCAATGCATATAGTTATAGTATGTGCTACTGTAGTATTGTCTATAAAGTGATGCTATTTTAATGGTAATAATTAGTGAAAGGATTTTTTAGCCGATTAGGTTTGGTCAGGTCTGCAGCATAAGTTGTCATGGGCGCAGTGGACTAGTGCGTTGGTGTTCGGATCAGGGGGTCACAGGTTCAAACCCCACTGCAGTCAGCATGTCGTTGTGTCCCTGAGACACTTCACCCCAAATTGCTCCTGTGGGGATTGTCCACAGTATTGAGTATGAAAGTCGCTTTGGATAAAAGCGTCTAACAAGTGACATGTAATGTAATGTAATGTAATGTGATATAGCCAGTTTAAATGAGAGCCACTTTCATAACATGGGAACTCTTTTGGCTCAACACACCAGGCTTACACACTAATCTTGCTTCCCAGTACAGCCCCCCTGTCTCCTCAGCCTTTGAAAGGACAGTGTGTGTTTAGGTGTCCCTGGTAAGGCCTCAGACATGAGTAATGTGTGTGTAAGGGGGGTCTAAAGCCTTTCTGTGTTCCTCAGGTCAGTTATCTGGAGAAGAAGGTGACAGAGTTGGAGAGCGACAATCTGGCCAACAGTGACCTCAAGTCTAAGCTCAAACAGGAGAACACACACCTTGTACACAGGTAGGAAAAGTCATTATTGTTGTCATGTTTGTATGTTGTCCTGAAAGTGTTCACAAACAAACATAACAGGAAGGGTCATAAACCTTCAGTTAGAAAGCAGTTATTGGCTTTGGGGAAGCCTGTGGGTCTGGGGGCTTATGGGGAACTCAGAGGGAAAAGGTTTGACAGGCCCCAGCAAACGTAGTACGTCAGAATTCAAATTGATGATTTTTGTGGTTTTACTTCAGTTTCTCTGCAGACCAGCATGGTGCTTTGTACTCTTTACATCTACAGTAATCCGATTCATATGGAATTCTGAAATCGGGCATATTTTTTGTTAAATCTGTCCCAGTTGAAGATTTATTTATTCAACAAGGATATAAGGTCTAACCTCATCTGGAAATCCTACACTTCCATCTTTCATGAGCTTTATTACCAGTGATCTAAAGTTACTAAGTACATTTACTCAAGTACTGTACTTAAGTACAATTTTGAGAGACTTGTACTTAACTTGAGTATTACCATTGTTGCTACTCCACTACAATTCAGAGGTAAATGGTGTACTTCCACTACATTTATTTAAGTTATTATTAGTTACTTTCACATTTTTAATAATGATTTGAATTGAAAAGTCATTCAAACTAGCTGCACCTTTACCAGCTTTGAGAACACTTAAATGATCAATCATTATAAAACATATCATATATATTATTCTGAAAAGGACCAATCTGCACAATGACTACTTTTACTTTTGGTACTTTAAGTATATTTAGATGCTAATACCTTAGTACTTTTACTTGAGTAACATTTTGGTTGCCGGACTTTTACTGTAACAGAGTATTCCTACACTGGTACTTCTACTTTTACTCAAGTACTAGGTCTGAGTACTTCTTCCAGCTCTGTGATGTTATGGCTCATGTTGTGCCAGGGTGTTGTTTTGTCCATGAGGGGGTGCTCTGGGTTCATTTCTGTGTTGTGGGTCGCTCTCATAAGGAGATTACAGGAGCTGGAAAGTAAAACATGTATAGCTGAAGTTAAATAAACTTACAAAATATTCCAGAGAATGCTGTATTGGAGTGATATTTCAGAACTGTACACTGCCATGTCTCTTCTGACTGTGTTCTGATGTCAGGGTGCACGAGCTGGAGGAGCAGGTGAAGGATGCCGAGGCTCGGGCCGACCAGAGTCTGCAGGAGGAGACCAAGAGGCACCGCGAGGCCTACAGCAAGATGGACCGGGACAGGAACCTGGAGATCGACCTGCTCTCTAACAGGTCTGCTCTTCAACAACACATGTGCTGCTGTCTGAGAGCAGTTAGTGCCTCTTTGTGGTACAGCGTAATAAGTCTGCAGCTCACTGTATCCTCTGCACCAGGGCATTGGTTTGTCTTCCAGTCTTTGATCATTCAGTCAAACTGGATCTATCTTGTCTCTGAATGGTACTGTGTGTATTTGTATAAACAGTGTCGCAGCTTCCTTCCTGTGTTTCTATAGGCCATTATGGAGACTTTCTTTAAAGTTCTGTCATGTTATTCATTTGACTCACAATTGTGATGCCTCTGGCTTACAAGGTTGGATTGATGATAGGCAGCTCGTGAGGTTAATCAAAATCAAATCAAATAGTTTCGATAAACATTGAACTAATGAGATAGTCCTTTACCAGAGCCAAAACAAAGGGAAACAAAAGGGGCAAGACTGTTTCTGTTAGATGATAATGATAAAGAAGGTCACGTTAAAAAATGTCAAATTGAGAACTGTGTCTCGTCGACGTCTCCCACACCGCTTGCTCATAATATTGTGTGTTAATAGGCTGGCGCTGTGGGAATTGTAGTCTTTTATATTCCATTGGTTACAGACACAGCTGGCGATATTATTTAACAGTTTTTACAAAAACGAAACTGTCTCTGACACACAGGCTACAGCTGTTAGAAGAAGAGAACGGAGAGATGAAGATAAGTGTGAGCCGACTCAAGTCGCAGACTGAGAAACTGGACCAGGTGAGTGGGACTTTACTATTTGCCTGTGTTTTGCTGTCATTTGTATCTACTTTGAACTACCTTGAACATGTTATGGTGAGATCTGGGAATGTGCCAACATGGCTTAAAAGAACAGACAGAAACAAAATGCAGAGGTTGGTCCAACTTATTGAGAAGAGAAAAGTAATATAGACAGTGAATCAACAGCACCCATCACAGATTACAGACCCACTTTTTGTTGCATAGTTGTTCCAACATCTTGGCACATTTCTCTGGTAGTACAGGATTATTTTAGCTAAAATAAATATAGTCCAAACAAGTAACAGGAGAGCAAGTGTTGATTTTGTTTGTGTGTGCAGGAGAAGCAGAGGATGACAGACAAGCTGGAGGACACGGGCCTGAGGCTGAAGGATGAGATGGACCTCTACAGGAAGATCATGGACAAACTGTGGCAGAACCGCCACGAGTTCAACAAGGAGAAGGAGGCCATGCAGGAGGTGAGGCTCAGGAACACACAGCTCACCCATCTCTTCATGGAGAGAGTTCAGGAGCAACATTGAACGGTGTCTTCTCTCTGCAGCTGATCGATGACCTGCGCCGCGAGCTGGACTACCTGCAGCTGTTTAAGATGGAGATGGAGCATCCAGGGCAGGGCAAGAGCCTCTCCAGGACCAGAGAGACCGAGATGGAACACGAAGTCAAGAGGCTGAAACAGGTCCTTCTATCTTCCCTACTTTCATTCCCAAGAAGGGCTGGGCCACAAGTGTTCCATCACGATATAGTTCATTTTATATAACAATATGTTTCAGATTCCAATATGAATATAATGATATATATCAGGATAGAGGTCATTTCATATCTAGATCATTATGTCCAAATCCGAATCATTGATTTATCCCGGGGGAATTTGGATAGAATCAAAATGGAATAGAAAATGTACACAAACCACAAGAGGGTAAAGTAAGAATCTGCATAAAATGATCACACAAATAAAGATATTTATATAAATATCAAAAGTTAAAGTAAATTGTCCACTAAACGATAGATTCAAATCAAGTACAATTTAAAAAATGTATATATAATTTCATGGCTGTATAACAACATATTTCATAAAAAAGGTCATTTCAGATATGTTCATTCTGTGGGTTATTGGGTTTTGTGACACTTGCTTCATTTTAGAATTTAAAAGATTAAAAAAAAAATTTGAATACAAATCTAAACAAAAGAAGTTAAAGTTAGAATTTGCAATAAAAAAATGTATATATTTATAAACATACTTTAAGAAGTCAAAGTAAAATGTAAAAAAAAATATATATATATTTCGTATAAAGATAGCATTAGATATCGGGGTAAAGGGCATTTCAAAATGGCAAACTATTTATTTAAAGAAGAATACTGGGAAGAATAAAAGATCAAAAGTTTCCTAATCGCGATGCGAGGTCAATTCTAAGGCCCTCTACTTTAAAGGTAGGGTAGGTAAGTTTGAGAAACCAGCTCGAGATCGCTAGAATTTGAAAATACACAACCGGAGAAAATCTGCCACTTCCTTATAGAGCCCCTCCTCCAACACACACGAACGCGCACATGACCAATGAGGGCACGAGATAAGTTTGTGCCCAGATGGAAGGCTGACAGGCAGGTAGGCCATCCAGTTATTTTAGCCGGGCCGGCTAAAATGATTGGTCGTGCTTTTTACAGTACTACGGCTTCCACAGATGACATTTTTTAATGGATTTTTTGTCAAAGCACTTCAGATATTCATTGCTATCGGGATGTTAAGAGCATTCCATGGAATATAACAAAAAGTGTTTCTCGAGCCGGTTTCTCAAACTTACCTACCCTACCTTTAATGCAGTTGTTAGCATTTTGTGAGATGCTGAGCATACCTGAGCATATTTAATACCTTTAGTCTGTGTACTGCACAACGTGGAGAGTTTCCTCACGCTACCCTCTGAAAAGCAGCTGTTCTCTTTTTGCTTCCTCAGGAGAACTTTAAGCTGCGGGATCAGAACGAAGACCTGAACGCTCAGATCCTCAGTCTGAGTTTGTACGAGGCCAGGAACCTATTCTCCTGTCCGTCCAAGGCCCAGTGCCTGGCCGCCGAGATCGACAACGCGTCCAGAGACGAGGTGAGAGCTGCTGGAGGACGGCCTTCATTATGATCTGTAAACTCCTTCATTAACAGGCTTCACATTCTTACAGTTCATGACATCAACGATTACCACATTTGTGTTTTTATTTACTAAATATTTTCAGGTACATAGAGGTGGGAGAAGTACTCAGATCTTGTACACTTAGTACCAGAGTGTAGGAATACTCTGTTACAGTAAAAGTCCTGTATTCAAAATGTTCCTCAAGTGAAAGTAGAAAAGTATTCTCATCAAAATATAGTGAAAGTAGCGACAGTAAAAGTAGTCATTGTGCAGATTGGTCCATTTCAGAATAATATATATGATATGTTTTATAATGATTGATCATGAAAGTGTTCTCAAAGCTGGTAAAGGTGCAGCTAGTTTGAATGACTTTGTATACTGCAGGGTAGCTTGTGAATTTACTCCAGGTGGAACTAAAGTCTGAGTTAACACTTGATTATATTTCACATCATTCATCCAAATCTGTGAAGTAACTAAAGGTATTACATACATGTAGTGGAGTAAAAGTACAAAGTAGCAAAAAAATGAAATACTCAAGTAAAGTACAAGTCCCTCAAAATTGTACTTAAGTACAGTACTCGAGTAAATGTACTTAGTTACTTTACAGCACTGCAGGTAAAGGGATCATTCCTATGCACTTCAAAACATATTTAAAAAATGATTTCATTTTGATGGAACTCATCAAATCCTCCCCCCCACCCCTCAGTGTCTCACATGAATTAAGAAGTGTGTTCCTCTGAATTCAGCTTTAATGGTGCCTTCACAGATATGAGAGCTCCATTTTCCGTCCGTTTCAGAGGAATAAAGTGGAATGGCCTTCCGATCACTAACAATCACTGTACCTCGCTGCATTGCTTTACAAAAGACCTGTATGATGCCTGCTTTCCATATTCACATCAGTGTTATTTTATTACCATTTTCAGTTTATTATTTGTTGTTCTCAATGTTTGCAATTTCTTATTGAATTCAAGCAATTGTTTGTATATTGATCTCTTGTCTTTTATATAAAAGTGTGATTTTCCTACATTATTTCGATAGAGGGTGTAAATAAGCCCAATGGGTTTTTTGCCTCTTCCTGCACTGACAGAACTGAAACGTTGACTTTAATGAAATGTATTATGTCAAGAGATTTCACATAACTGTATTAGGTTAGTTGCAAGCAATAATATTAAGTTCAAATACAAAATATTCTTGCTTTCAATGAACCTAATGCAGTTATGTGAAATGTGTTTCATTAAGTCAACGTTTCAGTTTTTCAGTGTTGGTCATGTGTTACCTGTTCTGTTTGTGTATTATTAATTTGTGCCAAAGCATGAGTCCCTGATGCGTCTCTGTGTCCCTCAGCTGGTGGACGCGCTGAAGGAGCAGGAGGAGATCAACCTGCGTCTGAGGCAGTACATGGACAAAATCATTCTGGCCATCCTCGACCACAACCCCTCCATCCTGGAGATCAAGGGTTAAAGGACACATTCACACAAGCACTCTGTTACTGTACTCACCTTAAAGTTATAATCCTCATGATGTAAGCCCCTGCTAGTGCACGGGAAAGCAGCATACTCTCTGACGGAACTAAACAAACATCCATCCTGCTTGTAAGGGACTGACAACCATATCGTGTTTTTCTCTAGACGCATTTCTGATGAATAATGGGGTATAGTGATAACCTTCATTAGTCACACTGGTTTACACACTGAATTGTTTCCTGTCAATAGTTCCAATTTCGAATAAGGAAGCGGCTGCCACTTACAATAAACTGCTATAGAGATCATTACCAATGATCAGATACAGGATCTTATTTCATGAAAATCATCAGGATTATAACTTTACATTTTGAATGTGCTAAATATTCTCACCAATTATAACTGAAACTGTAGTCACACACTCAAACAAACACCTTTATTTCAACTAGAACCAAACGCTTATCTATGAGGCAATCACTGTAGAACTGCTGTGTCATGTTGAATCTGTCCAATGTGTTATAGCTATATATTCAAAACTACTGAAATGTGAGCACTGGGAAATATTTGGGAGTGCACAAAAACATATGTTGGTGTTTTTCTTGTACACACTGTAGTAATTGTTATTGATTCTAACTGTACGCTAGATTTAAGTGAAGGACATGAAGCGATTAAGGTTTAAAGGACCATAGCAGTGTTTGGCATGTTTCTACAAACTAAAGCAGGCCGTAATGTAAGGTGCTTTTACAGACTTCCCTGCAACCAATCAGGTCATATGAAAATCAATTTGACTCAGAGTAAGACTCAAAATTAGCTCCAGTTCATTTTGAATGTGAACAATGTGGTTGTTTGTATTGATTGGCGATGGTAAGCATAAGCAAGCTAACATTCTTAAAGCTATTTGACTTTCAAACTGCATGGGAATCATGGGAAGCAGAGGGAGCATCAGGACATGGTTAGCCTAGCTTAGCTTAGCTCAGCATTAAGACTGAAAGCAGGGGGAACAGTTCGCATCTAAAGAACACTGACAAGTTGTATGCCGTTATTTCAATCGGTACACAAACACACATGTGAAACCACAAGTTGTGGAAGTATTTCTGGATGAATAGATGTTTTACAAAACATGAATTTCTTTAAAAAATGTGAAATCTGTAAAGTATTATTGAATATGTAGTAAATGACTACAACATGCATAAACACTGACATAGTTATTTTTGATGAAACAGCTTCTAACCCTTTAATGTGGCTGTCCCGACACATCTGGATGTCCAAATCAGGACAAATCAGTTCTGTAAGCGGTATTTCAAGGTGTTAAGAGAGTATGTGCCAAATCATTTCAATGTTTTATGGGCATCCTACTCAAGTTACATTTCCAATGTGTTACTACCGAGCTTAAGAGCTGGACACATTGTGATGACACTAAACAGGCCACCTTCTACTGTTCCCCAGCCTCTTACAAAGGGTCATTACTAATGTATTCATCAGTATTATTTATGAATAGTCTAATATTACTGTAAACGTTGCAGTGTTCTCTAGAAAAAAAGCAATTGAACTAAAGCTATCTAATCATCTCAAACAAAACTGCCTTGATGTATGCCTCCAGTGTGTTTAGGGGAAACACTTGATGCTATGTTGTGAATTAGTGCCATTGAACATAATTTCACCTTGATATTAAACTTGTTTCACATGTACTTGTAGAGGCACAGTGTGATCTGAGTATAAATGCTATTCCCAGGGTGTTTCACAGTGAGAGCAGCATATATATATAACGTTTTTTCATTGTTTATTTGCTTGTTTTTTCACAGGTTTTGTGCATTTGCATATACACATATTTAATTTAAGCAGTCCATTTATGATTTTGTCCATCGTTGCCTTTGTGAGTAATGTTTTTTTATATGTACATGTTTTCTTTAAGGCACAGTATTTGTGATTTCATACATTGTAAATGCTGTACAGAATCTAGTTCATATTCATGTGCAAGTCATGTTGCTTATCAAAAGTCTCTTGGAGAGTTTGGACACAATAACTAAATATGTGTTGTAGGTTGCACTATGAAGTCAATAATGCTTAGCACACTTAAAAGTGTCATAGCCAAAGTATTGGAATACTATAAAAGATGATGAAAAATATTATAGTCTGTCACATCTCATATTTGTTCAATTTCATTTATTTGTGCGATACTTGTGTATCGCACAAATAAATGTGTAAATAAACTAAAGTGCTTTGGCATGACGCAGTGGGCCCTTTTGTTTGTTTCCTCTACTGTAGAAGCAGGTGCCAAAATAAAAGTGCATGACTTCCGTTCCGTCTTCCTGTGAATCGAAAACAGTTGTAGCAACAAAAGGTTTATTGTAGAATTTTTTGAAGTTATACAAACTAGAATTTTACAGGGAACTACAGAGCGACTGCGAGGCAAATACAGCAGCTATGGTTAAAGGCCTTTTTCATAGCAGACATTTTACTTGTCATATACAAGCACAGGTGTTACAAATAACATTTAAAATGTCTCAGTTTAACTGTACATTTACACAATAAAGTCCTGTAGTGATGACGTATTTGTGTGGGCCGAACTAAAAGTTAGCATCGCAAGCGCTCCCTCAACAAAACAATAGATTCTTCTATTCAATTTGGAATATTGCAGAAAATAGGATCTGTGGCCAACACATGTTTATGATACTTACATGTTTTGTTCAGCAGGATAATCTCAACATATTAACCCTACTTTAATAATAGTGAAAGCGATAATTCAATTGAAAGAAGTAGATGGATAGCATTATGGATGACGGTCACATGACCGTTAGCCACTAAGCTCAAGCTGGTTAATATGTCACATGTTAGACTCCTTGCACCACAATATTGAAATTAAGATAGTTACCGAAACAGATTGATATGCAGTGAAGCGGGCCCTTTGGGGCCACAGTGGCCCTGGAGCAGTATCCCACAGTAATTGGGCTCTAATCTCAAGCAAGTGGAGCCAAAGTAACCAGACCAGCAGTTCGTCACCACACACTGAAGCATACTTACTTAAAGAACAGGTTAACATGCTTTATTGTTTAAAAAAACAAACAAACATATTTTCTCTCTAAACATAACTGTATTCCCCCTCTGTCTAAAAGGCTCACTTTTAAGGCGGTCTCTGTAAGACTCTTTCCAGTGCTCTGATTGGCCTGGGACAAAAATAAGGCACACCTTTGCAAAGATAGTACTCTAGCCAGTAGCCATGGGTGGACCTGCATGATGTCACATAGGAAGGGGAACCACATCTGCATAGCTAAATACCATGTTCTGTGATCACAAATAGGTTGATAGTTTTTTTGGCCTTGTGGAAAGCATTCTCAATAATGGCTTTAATTTAGAAAAAAAACGGTACAAAATGGCATGACATTGTGAATGACACATTGAACCTTCAATAAATAAACATGATTAACCTTATAAAAATAAACGATATCACTCATACAATATCGAATGAGTAAACCATGCGTGCACACTCCAGGCCAGCAGATGGCAGTAATGCTCCGTGTGCTGCGATATGACCGCCGCCAAAACGCTCATCTCACTGAAGAAATATTTTTCTTTTCGGAAGAAGATCCCGACAAAGCGGCCCTATTTCTTTTCAGTCACAAAAAGTCAAATAATCCGAAAACCGACGATGTACGCCAGGACAAATACCGGCAGCACACACGGAGACTTTCAGGATCGAAACGGAGTGAATTATGTGACATCGACAGAGACTTTCGGCCACTGCTCTCAATTGTTCTGGAAAAAGGATCCCAACGACTCCGGAGTAAGAAAGCAGCTGCCTATCGCCAGCTAGCGAGCTGTAGCTTTGTCAAACTATTTACCTAACTAGCACAAAGCAAATGGTCTTTCTACACGGAAGTGTTAAATTAGTGCATGAAGTCCAGTTTAGCAACAGTGTGTGATGTGAAGCTGCAGGTTATGTTAGCTCCGTTAGCTGTTGGTAACGGACCAACCGTCATGCTGAGCGGCTCACGGCCTAGTTTGATTCTTAGCCCCCGAGCTTGGTGGCTAATAATAATATGCGCCTACATACTGTATCTCTTTCATCTGCCACAAGTTCTTTGGTGAAATTAAACATCTATGCCCAGCCCTATGCCACATATATGTTGTGTGAGGCGCCCAGCGCTGCATAAAATGCATGTTATTGTAGCGGAGCATCACCGAGCTAATGCTAACACCAGGCAACACAGTCCGGCTAGCGAACACCTTCGCCTGCTGTTAAACCAGCGTGTTACTGTTAGGTAGCGCTTCGCATTAGACGATACTTTATACGGTCTGCTCTAACATAGTGAACCGTAGAAGGTGTATGTGAGCAGCGAATGCAGGTTTGTTTGCATGAGGTCTGCAATATTGTTATCGAGCAGCGCAAAGTAAACAGTAGCAGACTGCCCCGCAGGAAACGGGAGCGGAAGACGCCCCGCGGAGGACTCTGAAAGCGCTCTTTGTGATGCACACTGTGCGGTGCATTCATGGTCGCTCTGTGCCCACACACTATGTGCACAGTGCACACATGGACTGATATGAGTTAGATTTATATATTACAGGCTTATTTTATGTCTATTTGGCTTTATTCTGTCACACTAAAGCAGCTTCATAACACAGTGTTAACTGGAATCTTAATTAAATCCTAGCATGAGTTTGGGATTCCTCAAACAAAAGTTTATATTTCAGGAGTTTGCAGTACTTTCCAGGTGTCACTCACCTGATGTTGCCCCGCTGTCTTCAGCCTATGTGCATTTAAACACAATTTGTGCTTATTCTGGTCATTAAATCACATTAGATTCAACTTTTATTTTCATTGTGCAAAGTACAGGTACAAGCCAAGGAAATGCAGTTAGTATCCAACCAGAAATGCAAGATGTGCTAAATATAAATAAATACAAGGTGCATATTATAAAAACTGACAATACAGGGAGCATTGAATGAGCAAAACATCTACAATATACAGATGTAAGTATTGACAGAGTATTAACAGAGTGCAAGTGCAGATTGTATGTACAAACAGTAATATTATTTAAAAAAACATGTCTCCCCTGGAGCATTCCCCCTATTTTCCTTATAAAAACCATCCAATATCATTGATATTTACAATGCAGTTATAATTCGTTTTGCTATTTCAGATCTCTGAACCTAAGAGAAAATGCAGAAAGTGTAAACAACCTAGAAATGATAACCTTTGTTAAGATAGATATGTGTTAGAGCTGTTCTATTGGATGCATTAGATCACATTGGTCTCTCAATTTTTGGCGGTCAGTCATGGAGATAATTTCTTAGGTTGTTGTTAATTTGCATAATGTTCTATAGTTACACTGAGTGATCAGTCTCAATACTAAACAAACATAATGGCACTGTACCATTAAAAAAACCTTTGTTAGAGAAAGACTTTATCTGCTGACATCAGAGCGGTGTGAACACACTTGACTCTCGGCTGATGACAGGGCCAATTATTTGTCATGTACTGCAAGTAGCAAATTATACAGATTGCAGCCAATGTGTTAGATTAGCCTGGCTAGCCAACGGTTTGTGGATGAAATAAAAAAATAAAGCTTTATATTTCACATTTAACAGCTTAAAGTTGTTGTCAGATTGGACCTTCAATTGACTGTTATGGGCCTTGTCTCTAATGAGCGGCTGTCCATGGTGCTGAGCTGTGTTTCTTTTACTTTACACCTCTCACATTTATTATAAGACTCACCAGTGTAAAGGCATATTTCATGTTTTAGATTAAATGTTAAGGGATGAATGCACTCGCGTCATCTCCCCAGATGAACCTAGTGTTTCTTCAATTTAAGCAGCAACCTATTCCACACACCAAGAAATACATATTTTTGCAATATATCATTTCATATCAACATTCCGAGCTACCAGGAGGATGTTGAAGAATCAATGTAACGGCTTGTTGATATGTTTGCTGTGTCTTCACTGTCCTCTCCTCTTGCAGCCGAGCTCCACCATCAGCTGGTGTGATCAGCTGCCCTCGTCCTCAGCAGCCCTGTCCAGCTCCAGCCTGTCCTCAGCGTCTCTCTCCAGCTCCAGCCTATCTCTGGAGTCCCGGGCTCCGGCCCCCCCAGCAGCCACGTCAGCGTCAGACGACATGGAGTCAGACGAGAGGCCGTACGTGTGCGACATGTGCACCTGCGCCTACAAGCACGCCAGCTCCCTGCTCAACCACAAGCTCACCCACAAGACCGGAGACTTCAGGTAGGGTCTCACTCACAGAGGATTACTGGGGCTGCACCAATGTCACTTTTTTCATCCAATAGCGATGTTTAGAATAACAGTTTGGATGATGTTATTTATTCTCCTTTTGTGCCAGGTAACAAATACATCTTTATTATAACTCTTTATCCTTTCATCACACTAACTTTGAATACAACTACCTACTCGACGAGAAGTACCAACCGTCAGTGGTTGTGTTTGTCTACTTTGAAGTTGCTGGGATCGTCCTCATTCAGGGTTCTAATGCTTCAAAGAACAGACGACCTTTAGATTTTGTCCAGCGTCATTATTAAAAAGGATTATTTCTATATTACAAAGTCCTGGGAAACCGATAAACATCGGCCGCTGCCATTAATGGGGCTGCACGGTTTGAACAATGTTTTACATTGTAATATGATTCATGATAGAGGGATCATATCTGAAATGTTATCAATTGAACAAATATACTAATATGATCATGGTGTGATTTTTTTTATTTCAATTTTTTTTAAGAGGATCTGTACCAAACGAGGATCTTTTTGTATTAAGTGTGTTGCACATTGTTTGTTACTCTGCATCTCTACAATAATTAATTCAGATATTTTCACATACTTAGCCTTACCATATATTGCGCCTACCGTGATTGGGATGTTGCACTAGTCAATATTGTAATTTTCTATACGATTTCAATACATTTTGCAGCCCCTAGCTATCAGCGCATGTCACCTTATTTGCCGAAGAGAGAAAATAGGGCTCACACTGGCCTATGCATTGTTACTCCCTAATGATTACTATTATCGAGGGCATCAGGTAAAGCCTAAACCAACTTCCCCTCTAACCTCCACATTTTTTTTGTCTCCAAAACATAGGTGCGACTTTTGCAGCAAGCCCTACACCAACTACATGTC